ATTATTATAGTGGAGTTCTAGTCAGTCCTGCTGCTAAATGGAATTTAGTAAAGCATCTCTGATGTATTTGGTATGGCACATTGTACTATTTAGTGGAGATTATAGTGGACTATTTTGCTTTATCGTTCTGTTACACTTGAGTTTCTGGAGACATATGTGTCTTTATGATTTTCATTTTTAAAAGCAAAAGGTAAGATATTAACTGTATTGTATTAGTTTTTTTGCATTATTAGCCACCGTCAACATATTTTAAGTATTTTTAATTAATTGTCTCCATTGATATTTGTGAATAGCATGAGGATGCAGAATCACTTTGCTGGAAGACAAGAAAATATATGCATACTATATCCACTGATATGTGGAACCTCCATTGTAACTCTGCATCCAACAAATGCTAGTTTGTAGAGAACAGCCCCAGTGGGGACTTGACTTACAATGCCTTACTCAGGTCTAATTGATGGCGCATACTCCCAGGAAAGTGTTTAGGGCTGCACTATTAGCTGTATTACAAAATAATCAAACTGTGATATTTCCCATAGGTAGCTACTTATTATAACAGGAAAATAGGTGGCTAAAGTCAAAAACAAAAGAGAAAAACCAACCAAATCCCAACAAGATGTGTCTACATACTTGCGATTTCCCAGGTGTATAGTAAAATATGACTTTCAATATGAACCAAAATAAAACAAACAAACAAAAATGCTGATTAGGACTGAATATGCTCCAGGAGGCACAGAACCGTGAGATAGCTGACCATAAATTTTGGGGTGGGGGTTTATAGAATCCTGATTTTGAAAGGAAGGAATGTCAAATCATCATCCTCTTCCACAACTCCTTGTGGACCCCTGCTTGTATATGGCTATTAGAAGAAGGGTTGGATTTATACTGTGCCCTTCACTACCCAAAGGTGTCTCAGAGCATCTTACACACTCCTTTCCCTTCCCCTCCCCACAACAGACACCCTGTGAGGTAGGTGGGGCTGAGAGAACTCTAACAGAAACTGCTCTTTTTCAAGAACTGTACCAGAATTATGGCTTGCCCAAGGTCATCCAGCCAAGTGCAAGTGGAGGAGTGGGGAATCAAACCCGGTTCTCCCAGATTAGAGTCTGCACACTTAACCACTACACCAAACTGGATCTCCACGATCCAGTTAGCCATGATTACTAAGTGGCGTCAATGTTCAGAGGCTACATATCAATACAGCCTTTTTGCTGGGGAGGAAGA